ATAATAGTAATATATACAAATATGCCAATGAGTGACAGACAGTGATACTTCTCACCACCCAAGGACCAAGGCTCAGCCCGTTCCCAGCTAATGAGCCCGGAGCAGGGTTAGGCCGTGCGTGGGATGGAACAGACCATTGGCCAGTTTGGTCTCAGTCCTAGCCCTGAGGTAGAATCCTGGGCTGGGAACTAGGGCTGTGCTCCCTCCCAGCTTCTCCTGTCCCTGCAGACACGGGCACAGCAGAGAAGCTCTAAAGTCCTTGACTGTCCTGGCAGCAGCTCTGCCCATCAGTGTGTGATCAGCTTCTCCTCAGCACAAACCCAAACCAGCCTCACACCAGCTACTGGGAAGAAGTTAACTCTGTCCCAGCCGACAGCCGGACAGGAGGGATGGGATGTGCTGCCAGGCATTTTGGGGTGGTAGGTGCTGCTGCCTGGCAGCCCCAGGGGCTCAGGTTCAGTCTCTTACACTGAAGGCCAAGTGCAGGCTTCCAACCACACACCAACAGCTGATGGACGGGGAACACAAAGAGTAAGAACTAGAAGAGTGTGTGGGACGCTGTCCCCATTGGGCACCGCAAGCACCACACACTGGCACCCGCACATTCAGCTGATGTGGGGAGCAGCCCCCCCGTCCACCGGCAGCTGCTGCTGCAGCTCTGCTGACACTGCTTATGGGCATTGGGGGTGGTGTAAAGGTTCTTAATGGGAAGGAGAAATGAAAACACATAAGCAAGTAAGATAGTAATTTAACTCTTAAGACCTTCCAGTCCTTCCACTCATGGTTAGACAGAGTTGTTTACCATGAGGTGGTGTTTGGTTTTTGGGGTTTTTTTTATCAACAATGGCTTGAGGTAACATATTGACTTAGATGCATGAAAAATGCTTCCTGCTGTGAAATATGTCACTGCTCTTTGTGCAGGACACAGTCAAATCCCAGATACCTTTCCAGGAGGAACACCACAGCTAGTGAACTTCGCACATCAGTATGTGAAGATTTTATTTTAGATTTTTAGATCAGGTGCAAAGGATTAGCTATAGTTTCAACTAGTTTAAAGTTGTTAGGACATGGTGCACCTGGGAAGTGTTTCTCCATTGGGGAATCACTTCCCATCTTGTGTTTCCCAATCCTTTTCCATGGGAAGGAATTTTCCTCACCAGGGAGCTCTGCAGTTCTAACTCCACCGTACTTACTGTTTAATCAAGGTGAAAGAAATACCTTAAAGCTCTCCTCCCTGTCCCGGAACAAGTGTAGATGCAAGACTCAGAGCAAGCATCTGCAAAGAAGTAAAACTGAATTCCTGTCAGTTTTTACTTGATCCCAGGGCTCCATCAGCTTTTATTTTCTATTCTTGGGGATATTTCCAGCATTGTACTGCTGAGGTAGAATGTGTCACCCTTGACAAGGTCCTTAAATAAGATTTAAGCAGAGTTGTCTTCTCTATGCACATTCATCCTGGTGCCTCTGCTTGAAATCTGGCATTTGCCTCTCTTGTCCACACAGCTCCTTAATATCACAAAATAAAGATTTTTCTTGTGCATTGTGATGCTGAGGTATTTCCACTTATTTCACTGCATCTGGTAGCACGTAGCCTTTTCCAGAAGAAACTCCAGCTTTCAAGGCTGCTGGCCAGCTTCGGGTCTCATAGTAAGTTGATAAAACATCAAAGACTGTCAGGAACAGAGAGACATACCATGCTGTGATACTGGTATCAGCAGCAAGCTGTGTAACACGCACCCCACTGGCTGCAAAACATTGGGAGACAGTAACAGCTGATGCCAGAGAAGGTTAGCACGGGGCTTGCATTCCCTCTCACTTACAATCTGATGAGCAAGTGCCTGAGGCAGACAACTGTTTTGAAGATGACTTTCGGGAGCTCTGTCTAGGAAAAGCAGAGGCTATGTCAACTAAAGCACGGTGCCCCAGTCACCTGCACTGCCCGGCTGTGCTGCTGACAGTGCACCCATGGCAGTCACACCTCCGTGCTCCCACCACCACCGCTCCATGTCTGCACTGGGGCTTCTTTGGCAGCTGTGCTGGCCTGCAGAGCCCTCCGCCACCTCCTCTGCCTTGTGCTGATGGAGATGGTAACAAAGTCCTCATGCCAGAAGTAACAACTTACTAGAGCTGGCCTGGGACATGAGTCCCTCCAGTGTCCGAGCAGAGGACATTCACATTGCAAAGCCACCAACTGCCAGCAGAGCTGGAGGAGCATGACCACACCCACTGATGTGATCAGGTGGCCCAGCCCATGGTCACCATACGGAGCCACCATAGTGTCACAGCACATGAACACCCCACCTGAGTGTTGTGAGCCTCGCCTTGACCGACCCTGACACAGGCCTGCCGATGTCCGTCCTCCCTGGCCTGGGACCTTGTGTGACTGGCAGCGGCAGGAGCCTCCTCATCTCCCCACTCTCGCTGTTCCCTGCTCTGTACAAAGCAGGGGTGACCCATGTCCTTCTCCCCCAAGACCGGGCTGATGCAGAGGAGCACCAGACCTTTAAAATGGGGGCAGTGGGGATGACACCATGAGAGAAAACCCTGGTCCCAGTGCTTCCCCCCACACTCAGCACTGGCCTTCCATTCTGCCAACACTGCTGCTACAGCATGTGTCCAGCCCAGACGAGACAGGACAGGCCTCAGCCTCTCACCTTGGTTAACTGCCAGAGTCTCTGAGTGGTAGTTCTTGGTGTTGATGGATTTCACCATGTACTCGCGAATGGGGAGGCGAGCTGTTTGCAAGGACTGCCCTTGAGCTCTCTGCAAAGTCAGCTTCTGCAAGGGAAATGAGAACACAGTGCCTGACGTGCAAAAACCCGCACATCACAGCACGCACGTCATTTTGGGTACAAAGGTGAAAACTGTCCTGGGGCTCATTTCACCTAGACTGCTGCAGTCTCTCTCAGCCTGGTGCTGGACCCAGGTAGAACCCTGATGAAAAACGGAATGTGGCACAACAGTAGTGTCTCCAATCGAGGCTGCAGCAGCACTGGGTGCTCCCAATGGGATGTCCCTGCTTTTGTAAGATAACGGGGCAGGCAGCACCTTCATGTTCCAACAGGCTACTACCCACCTTGTGAATAGTTTCATCCACCAGGCCTCCAAGGACGTACACTTTATTTGGATCAATATCTTCAAGGACTAGAAAGAAAATAAGCACTTGCTCACCACCATACAATGTAAAATCCTGCCCTATGCCATTCTCCAAGCAAGACCCTGCTTCCATGAGAAAGCTGGGGCCAGAGTCGCCTTCACCCTGGAGCCTCGGAATGTGCAGGAGGATGAGGCTTCAGAGACAGAAGCATCTGCCCAAACCTGCAGACAGACTGAAAGGGGGAGATCAGATGCAGGCTGAAAGCACAGAATGCCACAGTCACCACACACTGCTGCCTTTAGCCACTGTCCGTTCTGAGATGGGGCTGATCTTGTCCCTCTGATCCAGTCTGCTCCACAGATGCCTCCCCACTGTCAAGGTCACCTGCTAAAACCTTCCCCCGCTCTTACCAGATTCTTTATCAGAGTTGGGCACTTGCGTAAAACAAGAAAAGGATCTACACCCCAGGAACATGTGGCCAGTTAGAAATGGAGCAAGAGGAAACAATAAACACAGCAGCAAATTAAGCAATAAAGGGAACGCTGCAGCTGCTGCATTTTTTCAGAGAAAGGTGTCATTTAGACTGTATCCAAAACTGCCACACCCTCTTCACTTTGCCACTTCACAGAATCCCAGACTGGTTTGGGTTGGAAGGGACCCTAGAGCCCATCCAGTTCCATCCCCCTGCCATAGGCAGGGACACCTCCCACTAGCCCAGGTTGCTCAAAGCCTCATCCAGCCTGGCCTTGAACCTCTCCAGGGATGGGGCATCCACAACTTCTCTGGGCAACCTGTTTTGTAGTATTGCAAACTGCAGGGGGTCTACATACAGGTTTTAAGTTAAGTCTGTTGCAGATCACATGCAGCCCTGAGTTGAAACCTCATTCCCTGACAAAATAGATTGAGACAGGAGTATTTAACATCTGCGTAGGCAGTACTTCTCATGCAGTTTGAGACAGTAAATGCTTGGAATTTAATTACCTGAAGTATGAAATAGTCTCAACAAGAAAATCTTAAAAATCAGCCTTTTGCTCTAGTTCCCCTGTGCCTAAAACATGTGAAATATTTACCATTCTCAGAGTCAGGAGTGAGATAAACAATTGCATCTAAAGGAAAAAGGTCCAGGTAACTTTCATGAGTTGTATCCATCTGAAAAATGGAAGATAGGGAGGGAAGAAGCCCATTAGCTCAAAGTCTATCTGCCAGAGCAAAACCCACTCTCAGACACAGAAATATACCGGCACTGACACTACCACCTTAGCTGTTTAAATTCTTACAGATAGAGTAGGTTTCTTTTATATTGGAAGATGTTTCTACATAAGGACTGAAAAATACGTATCTCAAAATCCATTAAATTCTCTTCTCATCAAAATCCCTAGATGTGGTTTGAGGAAGGCAGATCAGCCACAATTACCTAATTTTAAATGAGATGCTAATTCTTGACAGATTCAGCAATCTCACTTCAGGTGGTTTTCTCCCCTCACTGTTACCAGGCACAGCCCCACACGTGCCGTAGGACGCACAGCTCGGTGTCACTGCCATAACCCGTATGCGTGGGTCTCATGTTGAGCCAGATCGAGCCCAGTACAAAAGCTCAGGACAAGCACGCGTGACCTGCCCAAAGCCTGTCCAAGCGCGTGTGTCTGCGTGTCCCCTGTATTGCAGGCTTCTTCGTACAAGTAGCATCTAGAGAAGGGACTTTCTTCCTGCAGGCAGGAGGGACATGAGCTCTAACCTGCAGGCATTGCACACCACCCCTGTTATCTGTCAGTTCTCATCTCCTGCCAAAGGGCCAGGAAGATCTTAACCTCCATCACTGAGCTGCACTCCCCACACTCGCAGCCCATCTCAGACCATCTGGTGTCAACATCAAGGGCCAGTGCTGTGGCTGCATGGTGCTGTCAGAGACCCTTACCAAATAATTGGAGAAGCCGTCGTTCATGCGGAAACACTCCTCATAGATCAACGAGCCCACCACGAACTCCGTCAGACAGAGCCAGAACCCCGTCAGACAGAGCCAGAACGGCTTCTCAGCCCGCCTGTTTGCCCCGTAGAGTCTTCTGATCTGGGAAGCGAGGCGGCTGGTTTCCTTCCAACAGATAACAGGTACAATGACCCATGGATCCAGGGCAGGGGGTGACACAGTTCCATTGAGGGCCTGCAGACATCCCTGATGCCATGTCACGGCTCGTCCCCGAGGCTCTGAAGGGCTGTTCCTGGGGAGCGCAGCTCAGCTGCCCCTGGGTCTCCAGGAATCCCAGAGCCAGGTGTGTGGCCTCCAGCGCTGGG